GTAGCTATACAATCCGACACCCCGAAATTCCGACAGTCCAGTAGTCCGACGGTCCGACAGTCCGATGGTCCGACAGAAGTCGCTCTTCACTAATCTGTGCTGCAGCAGAGTTCACATAAGCTTTATTACTAGTATATTTTCGAAACGCTAGCTATTGAGTGTTTAAAATTTGTAGTTGTAAAAGTTGTAATATGATCCTATACTGTTTAAAGATTCCATTCATGTTCATCATGTCAAAGTTGGTAACATACATGCGCAAACATGTAACGCATTTTGTGGTTAAATGTGAAATATCACATATCATAATATGGATCTAGGCATTACTAGTCATAGAATCATCACGACAAAACACCATTTATGTGAAAAGGAATGGAACAGAGATTGGCAATGACATGCAGACGGTATATATACATTCCTAAAAACAAAAGATGTATTAATAGGGGAGGAAAGTTGGATTTGGGGGGTAGGTAAATGGGACTCCGAGATACATGTACCCTGTCCACCCCTCCTGTTTCGCATGTGACACCAGTCGTATTGCTCCGATACGTGATAAGTCTCATTCGGCGATGTCGCTATCGAGGGAAAGAGGACATAATTGTGTGTAGGACAATTAGAACATATACGAGAGCATTATAAGTAAGATTTCCCCTGATTTGTTTATCTGACATCCAAACAGTATGCCCCCAAGGGTGACTGGGGAATAGAAATATGGTCACTACAGGTCTTCTTCCGAACGGCAGTAAACCCCTTGTCAAAGTGGGGCTTCCGTTTGCCTGTGCGGGATGTACAAGTTTGCAGCCACGTCCGGCCAGATTTGGGACGTTAAATCCGATGCCTCCGACGTGTAGGAAAAATACCACGCTCTCTGCACGTTAAGAACCCTTGCAGCAACTCTTTGAGGGATCCGTGGGTGGCCTGCTGCAAGAAAAAATTTATGTTCCTATCCAATTTACCCTCGTTTTCCAGTGATAGTCTTAATTTTCCCCGACCTTCATCCCGGACAGGACCTATACCTATTGTTTTTATTGTTCCTGAACATGCATGAACTATTTGCCACTGGATGTAAAGCAATCAACAATCAATACAAACAGTATGATTAAGTGACTGATTAATTGATTGATTGTTGGGTGTTTGACACTTTTTCAGCACACAGCGGTCAGTTTTGATTATTATTTTGAGGAGGAAGCTGCAGTACTGGAAGAGAACCACTACATTCCGTCGAAAAAAACTTGTATTCATAGTCGAGCAGGCCTCCCCTTATCAGTGTTCGAACGCACAGCATCACTAACCCCCCTGAAAGTATGATAATGAGTTAACAACATGTTATCTACACCATTTGAAGCATTTGCTAAAAAAACAATAAGCTTCGGGAGCTTATCAGGTACGGTAATTGGAACAATATGTAAATGTATTTCTCCCAGTCAGGTGGCACCTGTCTCATTTAGCTTATCATTTGGTACATCAATTATTGATCATTTTTGGAATAAAACATATACGATCAACTTTTTAATCGCTCGCAACGTACGTTTTGCCTAATTAAATTACTAAGGGCTAAAACATAGAAGAAAAAGAGGTTTTCGATATCACAAACTATAGTCAAAACATTTACTAAATTTTATCATCGGTACAAGGACATTATTCATAAATATAAATCAACATACAGACATCTTATATGTTCAGGTATTTCACATCCAATCTTTTATGGTAATATTCTATACAAAGCACAAAAATGTCGACATTCACCTCAAAAGCTAACCAAACCTTTAAACAGACTTATTCAGAAGGGATATAGTTACGATACTGTTTTCAGGTCATTAAAGATGGCATATTTTGGTATTAATATTGATTCACTCAAAGGGTCTTTGCATCGGAAATAAACACATTTATTCTAACACCAGTCGTTGGCATCATACGGGTTATGTTCTACTCATATATTTTATGATGGTATGATACTTAATCCCTAACGGGAGGTATGTGCTTGATTTTCATATGATGAAGACATAATCTTTTAATCAGTTTAATTGAGGTCTGGAGCTGGCATGTCAGTAACTGCTAGTAGCCTCCTTTGTTAATTTATGTATCATTGTCATTTTGCTTAGTTCCTTTTGTTACTTATTCTGACATCGGACTCGGACTTCTTTTTTTCTACATTGGCTAGGGGGGGGGGGGGGGGGGGTTGAGATCTCACAAAAGATATTTAACCCCGCCGCATTTTTGTGCCTGTCCCAAGTCAGGAGCCTCTGGCCTTTGTAAGTCTTGTATGTTTTTTTTAATTTTAGTTCAGTTATACGTTTTGGAGTTAAGTGTGACGTCCATTTTCATTGAACTAGTACACATTTTTGTTTAGGAGCCAGCTGAAGCCCGTTTCCGGGTGCGGGATTTTCTCGCTGTATTCAAGACCCATCGGTGGCCTTCGGCTGTTTTCTGCTCTTTGGTCGGGTTGTTGTCTCTTTGACACATTCCCCATTTCCATTCTCAATTTTGTTCCTTGCTATTTCTTGATAAAAGTCATAATTTTTATCTTGCAAGACCACGGATAACTTCCCGCTAAAACTGCTGATGTTTAAATGGTACTCAAATCTGTAATAATATATACAAAACGAAAAAATGAAAAGTTGAACAACTTCTTGTGAGAAATAAATTTGCGCTGACATATTGAAATATGTAAAACCGGAATATGTCTCGGACGGCGGGCTGTACAATGAGATTTGTTCAATCATAGATATAATAGCCTATTACATTTATGGTTCAATACTGGACATAACTAGCTTTGCCTTCTGCATTATTAACTTGTTTCCCAAGCTGTTTCCTGTAAAAAAATAGAAATAAAAAATATAGCAATACAGCTTATTACTATTGTCCGCAATAAGGTCTATCATTTGGTGGGGTTCGTGTTGCTCAGTCTTTATAAACAAGAAGATGTGGTATGAGTGCCAACGAGACAACTCTCCATCCAAGTCGCAATGTATAAAAAGTTAACAATTATAGGTCAAAATACGGCCTTCAACACAGAGCCTTGGCTCACACCGAACAACAAGCTATAAAGGGCCCCAAAATGACTAGTGTAAAACAATTCAAACAGGTAAACCAACGGTCTAATCTATATAAAAAACGAGAAACACCTTTGAACCACACAAACAAACGACAACCACTTAACAATAGTCTTAGTTTTCTATGTTGTGTTTGTGTACTGTTGTTTGTCTGTTTGCCTTTTTCTTTTTTAGCCATGGTGTTGTCAGTTTATTTTCGATTTATGGGTTTGAATGTCCTATGTAACTTTCGCCTCTCTTTTGGAAGTGCGGATTATTGTTTCGTTATTTATCTTTTTATAAAAATAAGAAGATGTATGATTGCCAATGAGACAACTCTCCACAAGAGACCAAATGGCACGGAAATTAACAACTAAAGGTCACCGTACGGCCTTCAACAATGAGTAAAACCCATACCGCATAGTCAGCTATAAAAGACCCTGAAATTACATATGTAAAACATTTCGAACGAGAAAACTAACGGTCTGATTTATTATGTACAAAATAATGAACGAAAAACAAATATGATATACAGCAACAAACAACAACCTCTGAATTACAGGCTCCTGACTTGGGACAGGCACATACAGAATGTGGCGGAGTGAAACTAGTTTGAAGTCGCGCCAACCCTCCCCATAACCTGGACAGTGGTGGAACAGTACAACATAAGAACAAACTATAAAAATCAGTTGAAAAGGGCTTAATTTTGTCTTGCCAATGCCAATTGTGTGAATGTGTTACCCTTTGTTTCATCTTATATGATTGTCGAGTTTCTGTCATCCAAATGCTTTCTGTAATGAATAATATGAAATGATTGAGTATAGATGCAGGATTCTCTAGGACGAAAGGGGCGAACAAGCAATCGGTACGAATTGCTATGACAAGCCTGTAGGTCAACGTCAAATAACGTCACAATAAATGAACTTATCATCTAATTCTTGCGCCAAACTTTTGTAGATCACTTTATTTCAAATAGCACCTTAAATTTAAATAAAATCAAATTCTCTCTTCACAAAAACACAACTGTTTGACAGTAAAACAAAACAGTTCTTAAGTCTGATAATAAATCATACTAACTTAAGTTTCCTGCATGCATTATTTTATTCCTGCGCGAAGAGTAAACGTCTTGTTACGTCATAGAAGGTAACAGATCATTCTTCCACAACTACGAGAACGTAGAGGGAGGACCCAAAGAATCAACTCTGATTTCTGAGTTCTTTCGAAGATTGCTGCAGAGGAAATTCTAAAGCATCACCGTTTTTCAAGTAAGTAAAACATTTCATTTACGTGTGTTCTTATACGTCATCTTATAAAGATATCAGGATCGAATATTCAGTGCATGTTTGCAGACGTGTTTTTTTTTTGTGTTGCATAAAAAACGAGGAGATTTAAAAATTAAAGTTCAAGGGAACTACCGCAGCATAACATCATACGTTTAAAAAAACAACTTTATAAGAATTAAAATTTTTCTTCAAGTAAGTAAAATATTTCATTTAAACATTTCATTACGTGTGTTCCTATACGACATCTTATAAAGATATCAGTGCATGTTAGCAGATGTCATTTTTTGTGTTGCTGTTGAATAAAAAAACGAGGAGCGTTAAAAAGTACCTGTCAAATGCTGAAGTTTAAGGGAACTACCATAACATCATACGTTTTAAAAAAATACCTTTTATAAGCATTATTTTACTGCTTTAAAATCAAACAAGTAAATAAATTGTAAGGAAGAGATGAAAAAAACTTTAAAAAGTTTATACCCACAAACTTTCCCGGTAGTCCAGATTTAATTATCATGCCGTCTCCATGATGAGGGTAATTTTCGCTATTGATTTTTTTATCCATCATTGAAGGCAGGAAGTTGTCAAAGCAAAACAATAATATACCCTGCTTAGACGTCATAATATTATTTGGGCTACTTTCCAGGCGAAGATTTATCCCAAAAAGTGATTTTATTTTTATTTTGGTTTCAGAATGTTTCCTTCTCCAGGGCACAAGTCTGGGAAGTCACCACCTAAGAGTGTAGATGACATGACCCTTGCTCAGGAAAAGGGTGAGTAAATTGCCAGTCTGAAACCTTATGAAATGGATTGTATAAATCAAATAATCAGTTTTAACCTAAATACATCAAGTAGGTCAAACTGAAACTGTAAACTAAACTAAGTTAGATTGACACATGGTATGTGACTGCACAGACTAAGCAGTAAAGTTAGATTGACATAAGGTATGTGGCTACATAGACTAAGCCATTAAGTTAGATTGACACAAGGTATATGGCTACACATACTAAGCAGTAAAGTAAGATTAACACAAGGTATAAGGCTACACAGACTAAGCAGTAAAGTAAGATTGACACAAGGTATGTGACTGCACAGACTAAGCAGTAAAGTTAGATTGACATAAGGTATGTGGCTACATAGACTAAGCCATTAAGTTAAATTGACACAAGGTAAGTGGCTACACATACTAAGCAGTAAAGTAAGATTAACACAAGGTATAAGGCTACACAGACTAAGCAGTAAAGTAAGATTGACACAAAGTATAAGGCTACACAGACTAAGCAGTAAAGTTAGATTGACACAAGGTATGTGTCTACACAAACTAAGCAGTAAAGTAAGATTGACACAAGGTATAAGGCTACACAGACTAAGCAGTAAAGTTAGATGGACACAAGGTATGTGTCTACACAGACTAAGCAGTAAAGTAAGATTGACACAAGGTATGTGTCTACACAGACTCAGCAGTAAAGTAAGACGACACAAGGTATAAGACTACACAGACTAAGCAGTAAAGTTAAATTGACACAAGGTATGTGTCTACACAGACTAAGCAGTAAAGTAAAATTGACACAAGGTATAAGGCTACACAGACTAAGCAGTAAAGTTAGATGGACATAAGGTATGTGTCTACACAGACTAAGCAGTTAAGTTAGATTGACACAATATATGTGGCTTCACAGACAAAGTAGTTAAGTTAGATTGACTTAAGGTGTGTGTTTACACAGACTAAGCAGTAAAGTAAGATTGACACAAGGTATAAGGCTACACAGACTAAGCAGTAAAGTTAGATTGACACAAGGTATGTGACTACACAGACTAAGCAGTTAAGTTAGATTGACACAAGGTATGTGACTACAAAGACTAAGCAGTTAAGTTAGATTGACACAAGGCATGTGACTGTACAGACAAAGCAGTTAAGTTAGATTGACACAAGGCATGTGTCTACACAGACTAAGCAGTAAAGTTAGATTGACACTAGGTATGTGTCTACACAGACTAAGCAGTAAAGTTAAATTGACACAAGGTATGTGGCTACATAGACTAAGCAGTACAGTTAGATTGACACAAGGCTATACAGACTAAGCAATTAAGTTAGATTGACAAAAGGTATGTGTCTACACAGACTCAGCAGTAAAGTAAGATTGACACAAGGTATGTGGCTACAAAGACTAAGCTGTGAAGTTAGATTGACACAAGGTATGTGACTGTACAGAAAAAGCAGTTAAGTTAGATTGACACAAGGTATGTGACTGTACAGACTAAGCAGTAAAGTTAGATTGACACTAGGTATGTGTCTACACAGACTAAGCAGTAAAGTTAGATTGACACTAGGTATGTGTCTACACAGACTAAGCAGTAAAGTTAGATTGACACAAGGTATGTGGCTACATAGACTAAGCAGTTAAGTTAGATTGACACAAGGTATAAGGCTACATAGACTAAGCAATTAAGTTAGATTGACACAAGGTATGTGTCTACACAGACTCAGCAGTAAAGTTAGATTGACACAAGGTATGTGGCTACAAAGACTAAGCTGTGAAGTTAGATTGACACAATGTGACTGTACAGACAAAGCAGTTAGGTTAGATTGACACAAGGTATGTGTCTTCACAGACTAAGCAGTAAAGTTAGATTGACACTAGGTGTGTGTCTACACAGACTAAGCAGTAAAGTTAGATTGACACAAGGTATAAGGCTACACAGACTAAGCAGTTAAGTTAGATTGACAAAAGGTATAAGGCTACACAGACTAAGCAGTAAAGTTAGATTGACACAAGGTTTGTGGCTACACATACTAAGCAGTAAAATAAGATTGACACAAGGTATAAGGCTACACAGACTGAGCAGTAAAGTTAGATTGACACAAGGTATGTGGCTACACAGACTAAGCAGTAAAGTTAGATTGACACAAGGTATGTGGCTACATAGACTAAGCAGTAAAGTTAGATTGACACAAGGTACAAGGCTATACAGACTAAGCAATTAAGTTAGGTGGACACACGGTATGTGATTACACAGACTAAGCAGTTGAATTAGATTGACACAATGTATGTGTCTACACAGACTAAGCAGTAAAGTTAGATGGACACAAGGTATGTGTCTACACAGACTAAGTAGTAAAGTTAGATGGACACAAGGTATGTGACTACACAGACTAAGCAGTTGAATTAGATTGACACAAGGTATGTGTCTACACAGACTAAGCAGTAAAGTTAAATTGACACAAGGTATGTGGCTACATAGACTAAGCAGTACAGTTAGATTGACACAAGGCTATACAGACTAAGCAATTAAGTTAGATTGACAAAAGGTATGTGTCTACACAGACTCAGCAGTAAAGTAAGATTGACACAAGGTATGTGGCTACAAAGACTAAGCTGTGAAGTTAGATTGACACAAGGTATGTGACTGTACAGAAAAAGCAGTTAAGTTAGATTGACACAAGGTATGTGACTGTACAGACTAAGCAGTAAAGTTAGATTGACACTAGGTATGTGTCTACACAGACTAAGCAGTAAAGTTAGATTGACACTAGGTATGTGTCTACACAGACTAAGCAGTAAAGTTAGATTGACACAAGGTATGTGGCTACATAGACTAAGCAGTTAAGTTAGATTGACACAAGGTATAAGGCTACATAGACTAAGCAATTAAGTTAGATTGACACAAGGTATGTGTCTACACAGACTCAGCAGTAAAGTAAGATTGACACAAGGTATGTGGCTACACAGACTAAGCTGTGAAGTTAGATTGACACAATGTGACTGTACAGACAAAGCAGTTAGGTTAGATTGACACAAGGTATGTGTCTTCACAGACTAAGCAGTAAAGTTAGATTGACACTAGGTGTGTGTCTACACAGACTAAGCAGTAAAGTTAGATTGACACAAGGTATAAGGCTACACAGACTAAGCAGTTAAGTTAGATTGACAAAAGGTATAAGGCTACACAGACTAAGCAGTAAAGTTAGATTGACACAAGGTTTGTGGCTACACATACTTAGCAGTAAAATAAGATTGACACAAGGTATAAGGCTACACAGACTGAGCAGTAAAGTTAGATTGACACAAGGTATGTGGCTACACAGACTAAGCAGTAAAGTTAGATTGACACAAGGTATGTGGCTACATAGACTAAGCAGTAAAGTTAGATTGACACAAGGTACAAGGCTATACAGACTAAGCAATTAAGTTAGGTGGACACACGGTATGTGATTACACAGACTAAGCAGTTGAATTAGATTGACACAATGTATGTGTCTACACAGACTAAGCAGTAAAGTTAGATGGACACAAGGTATGTGTCTACACAGACTAAGCAGTAAAGTTAGATGGACACAAGGTATGTGACTACACAGACTAAGCAGTTGAATTAGATTGACACAAGGTATGTGTCTACACAGACTAAGCAGTAAAGTTAGATGGACACAAGGTATGTGATTACACAGACCAAGCAGTTGAATTAGATTGACACAAGGTATGTGTCTACATAGACTAAGCAGTTGAATTTGATTGACACAAGGTATGTGTCTACACAGACTAAGCGGTTTAATTAGATTGACACAACGTATGTGTCTACACAGACTAAGCAGTTGAATTAGATTGACATAAGTTGTGTGTTTACAGTAGTGTTGTCAAGTCGTATGGTTTTGCCCAACTGGTTACTCGGATAATCTTTCGACCGATTATCTGGTTAACTGGTAGTTAAGTTGATGTTTAAAAGCATTATCAATAGTACCCTACAAATATACGTTTTTATGATACGATCAATTGAAGTTTTTCCTTCGGCATTATAAGGCTTGTCTCTGCGCATTCCTGGTGAAGTTTTACTTTAAATAATCCAATACTACCGGATCTACAATGATGGTTGTAATAACTTCTAATTGAGATGATGAAAATCTTCTTGATCTAGTCGAATTGACAATGTCTGAAACCTTTGAATTCATTTTCTCTGATGTCTCAGAAAATAATGTTCAGTGTTTCAATTTGAGATGATTAAGCGTGTTACTCGTACCACCTAGTATACATTAATTTCATTAACGTTTTGCATTTCACCATTTTTAAGTCGGAATTTTGTTTAAAGTATGACAAAGCTTCTGAAGATAGTGGTGGCATATTTAGATGTAGGTCTACGCAACATCAAACCAAAAATTAAAATAATGTAGTAAATCATAAAGTTTAATCAGCTTACAACTGTTCATTATACTTACACCCCAGTTCTATTGTTATACTTGATAGTTTCTATTTCTGAAACAAGTGTAAATTGCATAGATCTATTGTTACGAATAACAATGGATTTTGACCACAGGGTGTGACGAGCGGGGTTTCTAGAAACCCCTGCTTCTACATCCCGCAAACAAAGTCCATTGTTATTCGTAACAATAGAAATTGATTATTTTTTTAAATAGCATGAGCATAAGAAATTACTAATAGTGTTCACTACAAATTGTTTCAAGATATTAAAAAAACACATTTTAGGAAATTCCAATAGCGAAAAAAAAATTAAGCATCTATTTTGAATACAAAATTATCCTTTAAATACTCCTTTGCTTGAAGGTATATTTTTTTTTATCCCAGTCATATATGTCTCTATTCTAAATTCTAAAGCATTGAAAAACGGGGATTCTAACTCCCGGACCCCCTCCCCCTCGGTTACCCAGTGGCCGATCAGGGGGTGGAGGTTCCGCGGGTTGGACCCGACTTTTATTTAAAAGATCAATGCAATTTGAATGGTTGGACCCCCCCCCCCCCCCCTTTTTTCTCTTGAGTTGGGAACCCCCGGCTGGATCAGCCCCTGATTGCCCCCAAAAAGGGAGTTCCTAAATATTAAATCTGTATCTTTGTATGTTGAGCGTGTCTGGTAGTCGGGTTTCTAATGCAGACACACCTATCCCTTAGTATGTCCGAATATGAATGGATTTTTTTTTTCCCGAGAAGAGGGGGGAGGGGCTTTTGTTCCATAAAACCGTATTAAAGATATAAAATAAAGTTATGATTACCTTTATTAAACTGATACAGGTAAGTACTTTGGGTTATAATATTGTCTTCATCTTTAGTCTCTTCTACCAAATCCAACGCTTGCCACAAAATGTCGTCCGTCTTATACCCGTCCATATTGACAACTGTATACCAGGAGCATGATGTATTTTTTGTTTGTAAGAAGAATACACGAAACAGTCAACCTTGACCTGCTGATCCATATTAGCACATGGATTTAACGGGAATATGTAAAACAACTTTGACATTTGTAAAATATACTCACTTGTCAAAGTTTGAACGAAGATAATCAAAGAAAGGTTACTAGTGGGGTTTCATGTAATAAAAAAAAATCTTATAAAATCATGGTTTGATATTATCAATAAATATGCTATAGTTTTTTTCATTTTTTTTTTTCATTTAATAATCAATGTTAACAAATATAGGATTTAGAATGGGGTGTAAGTTAGTTATACACCTCGGGATACGGCGTGTCTGGATAAGAAACCCCTCCGGCCTCCGGCCGACGGGGTTTCTTATCCAGACACACCTATCCCTCGGTGTATAACTATTACATGTATGCTAATTATATATACTAAGTAAACAAGAATGTGTCCATAGTACACGGATGCCCCACTCGCACTATCATTTTCTATGTTCAGTGGACCGTTAAATTGGGGTAAAAACTAATTTGGTATTAAAATTAGAAAGATCATATCATAGGAAACATGTGTTCTAAGTTTCAAGTTGATTGGACTTTAACTTCATCGAAAACTACCTTGGCCAAAAACTTTAACCTGAAGCGGGACATACGGACGAACGGACGCACAGACCGAAAAATATAATGCCCCTAGGTGGGGATTAAAAAAGAAAGTTGTGGTATGATTGCCAATGAGACAACTCTCCACAAGAGACCAAATGACACAGAAATTAACAACTGTAGGTCACCGTACGGCCTTCAACAATGAGCAAAACCCATACCGCATAGTCATCTATAAGAGGCCCCAAAATGACAAATGTAAAACAAATGTAAAACAATTCAAACAAGAAAACAAAAGGCCTAATTTATGTATAAAATAATGAACGTAAAACAAATATGTAACACCACAACAAACGACAACCACTGAATTACAGGCTCCTGACTTGGGATAGGCACATACAGAATTTGGCAGGGTTAAACTAGTTTGTTGGCGCCAAACCCTCCCCCTAACCTAAATATGTTTACTTAAGATCTTGCCCCACCGTTCTTGCCCCGAGCTGATAGACAAGTTGTCTTTGTTCTAATTAATTTTATGTTTTCAAGATTAATGAAAAGCAATCAAAATTAATTACGACGATCATTTTGAAATTGAAAAAAGGTCCGGTATACCGTTTAGCGTTTTTGGTATTTGCATCACGTAGGTCAAACTGAAACTGTAAACTAAACTAACAGTTAGATTGACACAAGGTATGTGGCTACACAGAGTAAGCAGTAAAGTTAGATTGACACAAGATATGTGGCTACTCAGATGAAACTACTAGTAAATTACTTAAATAAAACTTACATAAGAAAATATGTGCATCTTAACTAGGTAAATGTGATTGATATTAAATATATGTCCACACAGATGTCAGTAGAAAAAAATTGACACTGGCCAGTCTGGGTATTGATTCTATTATTTTAGACCAACTGGAAAATAAAAGAAGCAGCTGTTTTTCAGTTTTCATTAATTCATCAGTATTTTTTTGGTCATTTGAATACTTGCTCAGTAAATATGCAAATTAGCACAATAGTGCTTTGCCTGCCCTAAAACTATCACTATAAGCTATATTGCTATTACTTGCTGATCCTGTCCTCTTAATAAGACTTCATATTTTTTTTCCAAACAGTATATAGCGAAGCTAGAGCATCTCCATCACCATCACCAAAGATTGAAAAGGTGGCCAGGGCATCTCCATCCCCAAAGATGGAAAAGGACGCAAGATCATCGCTATCACCAAAGATGGAAAAGGTGTCCAGAGCATCTCCATCACCATCTCCAAAGATGGAAAAGGTGGCCAAAGCATCTCCATCACCATCACCAAAGATGGAAAAGGTGGACAGAGCATCTCCATCACCATCTCCAAAGATGGAAAAGGTGGCCAAAGCATCTCCATCACCATCACCAACGATGGAAAAGGTGGCAAGAGCATCACCATCACCAAAGATGGAAAAGGACGCAAGAGCATCGCTATCACCAAAGATGGAAAAGATGTCCAGAGCATCTCCATCACCATCTCCAAAGATGGAGAAGGTGGCCAAAGCATCTCCATCACCATCACCAAAGATGGAAAAGGACGCAAGAGCATCGCTATCACCAAAGATGGAAGAGATGTCCAGAGCATCTCCATCACCATCTCCAAAGATGGAAAAGGTGGCCAAAGCATCTCCATCACCATCACCAAAGATGGAAAAGGACGCAAGAGCATCGCTATCACCAAAGATGGAAAAGGTGTCAAGAGCATCTCCATCACCATCTCAAAAGATAAAGAAGGTGGCCAAAGCATCTCCAATACCATCACCCAAGATGGAAAAGGTGTCCAGAGCATCTCCATCACCATCTCCAAAGATGGAAAAGGTGGCCAAAGCATCTCCATCACCATCACCAAAGATGGAAAAGGTGGCCAGAGCATCTCCATCATCATCACCAAAGATGGAAAAGGACGCTAAAGCATCGCTATCACCAAAGATGGAAAAGGTGTCAAGAGCATCTCCATCACCATCTCCAAAGATAAAGAAGGTGGCGAAAGCATCTCCATCACCATCACCAAAGATGGAAAAGGTGTCCAGAGCATCTCCATCACCATCTCCAAAGATGGAAAAGGTGGCCAAAGCATCTCCATCACCATCACCAAAGATGGAAAAGGTGGTCAGAGCATCTCCATCATCATCACCAATGATGGAAAAGGACGCAAGAGCATCGCTATCACCAAAGATGGAAAAGTTGTCCAGAGCATCTCCATCATCATCTCCAACGATGGAAAAGGTGGCCAAAGCAGCTCCATCACCATCACCAAAGATGGAAAAGGACGCAAGAGCATCGCTATCACCAAAGATGGAAAAGGTGGCCAAAGCATCTTCATCACCATCATCAAAGATGGAAAAGGTGGTCAGAGCATCTCCATCATCATCACCAATGATGGAAAAGGACGCAAGAGCATCGCTATCACCAAAGATGGAAAAGGTGTCCAGAGCATCTCCATCATCATCTCCAACGATGGAAAAGGTGGCCAAAGCAGCTCCATCACCATCACCAAAGATGGAAAAGGACGCAAGAGCATCGCTATCACCAAAGATGGAAAAGGTGGCCAAAGCATCTTCATCACCATCACCAAAGATGAAAAAGGTGGTCAGAGCATCTCCATCACCATCACCAAAGATGGAAAAGGACGCAAGAGCATCGCTATCACCAAAGATGGAAAAGGTGTCCAGAGCATCTCTATCACCATCTCCAAAGATGGAGAAGGTGGCCAAAGCATCTCCATCACCATCACCAAAGATGGAAAAGGTGTCCAGAGCATCTCCATCACCATCTCGAAAGATGGAAAAGGTGGCCAAAGCATCTCCATCACCATCAACAAAGATGGAAAAGGTGTCCAGAGCATCTCCATCATCATCTCCAAAGATGGAGAAGGTGGCCAAAGCATCTCCATCACCATCACCAAAGATGGAAAAGGACACAAGAGAAACGCTATCACCAAAGATGGAAAAGGTGTCCAGAGCATCTCCATCACCATCGCCAAAGATGGAAAAGTTGACCAAAGCATCTCCATCACCTTCACCAAAGATGGAAAAGGTGGTCAGAGCATCACCATCACCAAAGATGGAAAAGGAGATAAGAGCATCGCTATCACCAAAGATGGAAAATGTGTCCATGGCATCTCCATCACCATCTCCAAAGATGGAAAAGGTGGCCAAAGCATCTCCATCACCATCACCAAAGATGGAAAAAGACGCAAGAGCAGCGCTATCACCAAAGATGGAAAAAGTGTCCAGAGCATCTCCATCCCCATCTGCAAAGATGGAAAAGGTGGCAAAAGCATCTCCATCACCATCACCAAAGATGGAAAAGGTGACCAGAGCATCTCCATCACCAAAGATGGAAATGGTGGCCAGAGCATCTGCATCACCAAGGATGGAAAAGTTGACAAGGGCTTCTCCATCATCTAAGATGGAAAAGGAGGCCAGAGCATCACCATCACTAAAGATGGAAAAGGTGGCAAGAGGATCACCATCTCCAAAGATGGAAAAGGTGGCCAAAGCATCACCATCACCAAAGATGGAAAAGGTGGCCAGAGCATCTACATCACCAAAGATGGAAAAGGACGCAAGAGCATCTCCATCACCAAAGAAGGAAAAGGAGGCCAGAGCATCACCATCACCAAAGATGGAAAAGGTGGCAAGAGCATCTCCATCACCATCACCAAAGATGGAAAAGGTGGCAAGAACATCTCCATCACCATCATCAAAGATTGAAAAAGTTGCAAGAGCATCTCCATCACCAACACCAATGATGGAAAAGGTGGACAAAGCATCACCATCACCAAAGACAGAAACGTTGGCAAATGCATATCCATCACCATCATCAAAGATGGAAAAGGTGTCAAAAGCATCTCCATCACCATCTCCAATAATGAAAAAGGTGGGCAAAGCATCACCATCACCAAAGACAGAAACGTTGGCAAGAGCATCTCCATCACCATCATCAAAGATGGAAAAGGTGTCAAAAGCATCTCTGTCACCAAAGCTGGAAAACATTGGAGGTAACAATCATTTCAATTTTTTTATTAATTAACTTCAATTAAGAGTACAAAAAGAGGACACTCTGACCAGATTTTTAATTGATTTTTTTTATATGTAATTGCTGTCCTGTATATAAATAATTATTGTATTTAACAACTTCCAGTAAAAATAGAACCAATTTGTTTGTAATTAACATGAAAGCTGGTAGGACGCAGGGTAGACATGCAGCACTTTATTTAGACACTTTATAAAGAAGGCAGTTTTTGGATTAGGGAGCAGGGTATTATCCAACCAACAACTGGCTATCTTAGATAGCTTCCTGTAGTTTTTTTGCGTTTCATTCCTTAAAATGTGCCTTTCATTCCTTAATATCGTAATATGTGCTTTTCATTCCTTAATATCTTAATATGTGCCTTTCATTCCTTAATATCTTATATGTGCCTTTCATTCCTTGAATATCTTAATATGTGCCTTTCATTCTTTGAATATCTTAATATGTGCCTTTCTTTCCTTAATATCTTAATATGTGTCTTTCATTCCTTAATATCTTAATATGTGCCTTTCATTCCTTAATATCTTAATATGTGCCTTTCATTCCTTAATATCTTAATATGTGCCTTTCATTCCTTAATATCTTAATATGTGCCTTTCATTCCTTAATATCTTAATATGTGCCTTTCTTTCCTTAATATCTTAATATGTGCCGTTCATTCCTTAATATGCGTCTCTTTTTCCTTGATAAAAGTTGGTGGTCCTTCTCTTGGAAGCTTGACTGCGAAGGGTTTTTACTCTTGATAGCTAAAAGGTGAAATTTGTGCACAGGTAAAACTTGTTTAACCCCATGTCATGATATCTGGACCATGTTTTTGTTGTTGTTATTATATGCCTGTTTACGGGACCTATTATGGTATACATCTGTCCGTCCTTCCTCACCATGTTGGACAATACGTCGAAAGCACTTTCATCAATTTTCAAGAACCTCTGGTGAATTGTTTATATCTATTGACATAAGCTCCCTTTTGATTTTTATAAATTGTAGATTTTTCCATTTCCTAAGTTATGGGATTTTATTCATAAAAAAGGGGGGATTTTCCAGTTTTCTGGCAATAACTCAAAAATGCAGTTTTCATGGAACTTTGGTGATTTATATCTATAAAAATAAGCTCCCTCTCAGTTTTTTTTTTTATCAATTTCTGATACGACATTCAGGCGTTATGGAACTTTATTTGTTAAAAAAGAGAAGAGCGTATCATGCTCTCATGGTGCAGCTCTTCATTTACTTTGTTTGTATGGTTGTTTTTTTAAGGATTCAGTGTTTGGTAGTTAGTGTGACCTGTTGTTACTATCCAAAGATATTTGTAATTCTTGTTATCATATTTATCTGATATTGGTACTGGTAGAGGTTTTTAAAAATATCCTATTTGCTTATACAAAACTGAATATAAGAGTGTTAAACCTACTTGGTAGAGTTCATGCTGCATAATCAATTATGTAGAAATAATCAGTATAATGGTTGACATGGCATTGAATATATGTTTATCAATAAATTGAATAATTAATTAATTATAAAGATAGAATATAGAAAATAAAAATGTCCAACAGGTATTTCATTGCCATCAAATAGTATATCAAACCAAGTTGTTTACAGTAAAAGAAGAAATGTTTTATTTACATTGTCCTCTGAACCTGTTTTTTTCATCTTTTAGCCTCTGGTTCTATTTTTACTTCTAAGGTTTAAACAGACAAAGGTCTAGAAACATTTTATACTTAAAATCATTCATCTATTTTGAGTAATTCTTATTAAAGTTGCTACCCTACCCTATTTTAAAAAATTAAATTGCAGATGTCGAATATCTGATGGTCCAAGGACAACATACACCAAGGATTCAGAAGATGGATTATTCAGAATATAAAGGTACTTAATAATTCTTTATGAAGAATAGTAATTTTTTATACAGATATCAAATATGCTGAAAAACCTGCTAGATATTCACTAGATACACATATAATAGTATATATCTCATGATATTAATACCATAAGTACAGGTCTAAATGGTAATAAAAACACCCATGTTCATGTAACTTGTAAGCTGTGTAGGTTTCTATATAAAAACAAAACTATATTGTTAAGTTAAGTTAAAAACATACTGGTAATATACAATATTAAAGTCAACATTTTCTATTTATGATGTTATCAATTTGTACAATACCAGCAAAGGGGAGATAATTCAGTGTTCAATGCAAGGTATTTTAGATGTTTTCTATTTGTACAATTCCAGCAAAGGGGAGATAACTCAGTGTTCAATGCAAGGTATTTTAGATGTTTTCTATTTGTACAATTCCAGCAAAGGGGAGATAACTCAGTGTTCAATGCAAGGTATTTTAGATGTTTTCTATTTGTATAATTCCAGCAAAGGGGAGATAACTCAGTGTTCAATGCAAGGTATTTTAAATGTTTTCTATCTGTACAATTCCAGCAAAGGGGAGATAATTCAGTGTTCAATGAAAGGTATTTTAGATGTTTTCTATATGATGTTGCATGTTTGTCTATTTTATCTAACATTTCAATTAACCTTATTCAGTTTGTTCTCTTTTTATACTACTTATATTTTAATTGGATTTATGCACTGCACAGTTTTCAATAGGTAGTGATTGTTTCAGGGTCATTATTTATACTTGTTATTTTATACTGTTTTTTTTTTTATATAACTAGCTTTCTAATGAAGTTGAAATGCTATGTAAGGGAAAATGTTTCACAGATATTGCCTTTTCTTTTTTGAACATATTGTTATATACTATTACATAAATGAGTAAGTAATTTTACTACAGATTTAAGAGGAAACATTTTTTTTTTTTTATATACTCTTGTGTTTGAAATTGGCACTATTTGCTTGTTATTATATACCTCTATACTTACTTGTTATAAAACATTAAAGGTAAATTACTAACATAAACTTTATGTTCACTGTACATTTTTTTTTAAAGATGATACTGTTAAAGTTGTTTATTTCAAGATGCATAATTTTATCTTTTTAAAGTTTTTTTGTGAATCAATTTAAAGTACACTGCATTTGTAGAAGAAAAAGAAAAATCTGAAAATTGATACTTTACCTTGAAGTTTTATTTCATTTTTAAATGTTTTTTTTACAGAGATGATTGTATCAGAAACTGCTTTGCCTACTCGTGGAGCTAATGAGATTGATACCACTAAACATACCATTGATGCCCTTGATAGACTCAAGAAGAAGGATAAAGAGTAAGTAATGTTTGCAAAAACTCGTAAATATTTCTTGTGTGAAGTAGAAGGTAATGGTATGATTTGAAAATCAAAAGGTATTAAACTTAGCAATTAACATCCTTCAGATGTTCCCAAGTCTTGGGCTCCCTAACATCATAGGCTGACATAGTTACGCTCCCAGTGTCAAACTTAGTCATTGGAAGCTTTAGGCTCTTGAGGATGCCTAAGAATAAAATAAAATTTCACAAAAACATGATTTTCAGTTGAGAAATGAAATGATTTTGTTTATTATTGAAGAAATCACGTACTGTGAATTCTGAATTTAAAAATAGCAGCTTCCCTTAGCTACAGACAGGTAAATCATGGAAATTTCCTACTCAAAATTATGATGTCGTTCAATCAAAAACGTAATTAAAAACAAATTGCATTAGAAAGACTGTTTTAGTTTTCTTAATTCTCTTCAGTTTATTACTGATAATAACTACTTTTATTTAATAGATTACTGGATAACTTGAAGAAGTATAAACATGAAGATGCTGATATTGATAAACTCCATAAGGAGCTGAATGAAGCTAACTGCCTCCTGGCTAACCTTGAGAATGATATTGATAGTTTGAAAGCAGAAAAGGAAATGAGCCTATGCCTGTTAATTAAAATCATCAAGAATGAGCTCAAATTTCTCAGAGATGAGAAGTACCACCTCCAAAAACAGCTGGCTTTGGCTAAAAGAAGTTGCAGTGGGCAGAACAAGTGCAAAAGCAAAAAGGTTGACCATCTGAACATTGCATATAATAAATTGGATCAGAAGGAGAGAGCCACAAGAAGGCGCTTTGTTAGGTTGGAAGCTGAGCTCTCCCTGATTTTCTCAAAGCTAGAAGTGCCAAAATCTAAGAAGGAAAAGCCTGTTGTTCCTCCTCTTGATCTATCAAAACTTGGTGAGCGCAAAGTTTTGCCACCATTGAAGAATGCACCAAAAACACCAAGAAAAGGTGTAAACATAAATTCGTTAGCCAAAGAAAACTTCACTGATTTCAACACTGGTAACAAGAGGAGAATTAAGGCTGCAGAACCAAAGCTGTCCTATAGTACACCTATCATGCAGAATCATAAGTTTGTGAGACCAGCTCCTACTACAAGAGATAACAGAAAACATCCACTACATCCAATTAAAACTGGTACACTAAATGATCCAAGGAACCAGCCTGATAAGAGGATTGTCAGACAGGTAAGATAAAATATAATGTTGACTGCTGCCATTAATAAAAGGGACAATAAGGTTAGATATCGGGATATGTCTGTAACATTAATTACAACTAGTACTCCCTATGGAAATAGTCTGATAACAGGACAGTAAAACAAACCTGCATAAAATTAGAATATCTCTTATATGTATATATATAACTATAGAAATTATAGAGTATTACCTGGTCATAATACACAAACTCATCAAGGATTGAGCAATTTGATAAGAGAACAGTCATACAGGATATTGATAGAGTATGTCTTTTATCTGTTTAAAACATCAAAAATGAAATCCCTAATCCAAAACAAAACTATCAATTAAGGGACAGTACACAAGTAAGATTCTCCCCAACCTTTGAAATTTATTAGAATCAAAGGACCCCTCCCCAACAAGGAAACAAGATAAGAGCATAACATAACCAAACTAACAGGAAACAGACAAGGGAACAGTAAGATTAATCAAATAAATCAATGGTCTTCCTGAATTCAAACTATCAATATCACATAATACAGCAGCATTCAATTAATACCAGTCTTGGGAAAAAGATTAACTGATCTGAAAAATCAACCAATAGAAATTCATTCTGCAGAAATTCTTACTGTAGCCTTTGACTGTCTTTTAATATAACTAAGTTGCACTCTTTTAATATTACTAAGGCAACACTCTTTTAATATTACTGAAGTAAACACTCTTTTAATATTACTGAAGTAACACTCTTTTAATATTGATGAAGTTACACTCTTTTAATATTACTGAAGTTACACTCTTTTAATATTACTGATTAGTTACACTCTTTTAATATAACTGAAATAACACTCTTTTGAATTTACTGAAATTACACTCTTTTAATATTACTAATGTAACACTCTTTTAATATTACTGAAGTTACACTCTTTAATATTACTGATTTGTTACACTCTTTTAATATTACTGATCAGTTACACTCTTTTAATATTACTGTAGTTACACTCTTTTGATATTACTCATTAGTTACACTCTTTTCATATTACTTATTAGTTACATTCTTTTAATATTAATAGTAGTCACACTCTCTTAATCTTACTGCAGTAACACTCTTTCAATATTACTGATTAGTTACATTCTTTTAATATTACTGAAGTAACACTTTTAATATTACTGAAGTTACACTCTCTTAATATTACTGAAGTTACACTCTTTTAATATTACTGAAGTAATACTTTTAATATTACTGACGTAACACTCTTTTAATATTACCGAAGTAACACTCTTTTAATATTACTGAAGTTGCACTCTAAATATTACTGAAGTAACACTTTTAATATTACTGACGTAACACTCTTTGAATATTACTGAAATTGCACTCTTAATATTACTGAAGTAACACTTTTAATATTACTGAAGTAACACTCTTTTATTATTACTGAAGGTACACATACTGAGACTCATATCCGTCCAATTTAATGAAATTTTGATTACTGTAGTAAACAATAAAATAACTTCTGAAGCACTAAATTTAATGTGTAGGAAATCTATGTTAGTTTCAGTAATATGTATTGCTGTTTCATTTATGTTATACCAATACCATGCACGCCTCTTTATTTATATCAAGGAAATGAAAAAATTGTCTACTGAAAAAATACTAAAGAATCAGAAAATTTGCTTTTGAGATATATTTCCATTCTCAAGATTGAAACTGATCTGGGTTTGGTGACTACTGCTCCCTATTTTTGTTTCTAGTTTTGTGTTGTACAAAACAACCAATGGGAGTAGGTGACATTAGCAAACTTCTTATTAAAATCACATTAGCTTTTTGCCAATTTGTTTCTAGGTTATATACAAGAATAAACCAGTACTTACAAA